ATGTGTTTCTAGTTTAGCAGGATTCTAAGCCAATACAAATATCATCAAACAATGATCTAATTACGCATTCAAGCAGCAAAGATAGAAGTCCCGAGCATGATTCACTTTATTCTCCATTTGTTTCACACACGTGTGATCACGAACCAGGAATCCGAGGTCTTTGGTTCACTAGGTCAGAGCTTTAGGGGTTATGTAAGCAGAGCAGAGAGGCTGCCCTCGCTGAACCTGAGATAGAGAGGCACCACGCTGGGTCTGGCAGGCACGATCGAAGACCCGGAGGGCAAAGAGGTAAACACAGCAGTGGTGCAACATGTACACTGGTAAAGTGGCACACAGACACAAGCAGGAAAAAATATATCACACTGCAGGAAAAGAGTCTTACTTACAGACCCATTTCCAGGAGTGTGTGTGTGCAGACATTTGCTTATCGACTCCCTTATCTATTCTTATCTATGTCAGTGTGTATACTCTGTGGGAGTGTGGGAATGCATGCAGAATGTGTTTTTGTAACAAATTTTTCAAATGCATGAATCAAATAGTAGAAAACAAAGATTACTGATATTCTGAGTCAAATATTTTGAAGAGAGATACTTGTTATGGAAAGATTGTGCTTTAAATATTATTAATTAGTAGGTTTCTCACTTTGAAATGAAACCCTTAAATAACAGAGACAACGTCAGGAGGAGGCAGTGGCACATATCGAACACTTCAATCTGACTCTATTGCTCCTCTCAGTGCTGCCCTCAGCCTGCCAGCAGCAGCACTGCACCCTGTAGGTTACCAGAGGCAGACAGGGCCAGAGGCAGACTGTCTGGCTACCACCCAAATGGCTTTCTCCATGGATATAAACAGCCCAACTACAGGCCTGGACCACACATAAACACCATTCTGAGCACGCTGGCGAGGACTGAGCACTCTGGTTTGGGTGTGTGTGTGTGTTTGTGTGTGTGTGCAAGAAAAAGAGATAAGCAGTGAGATAAATACAGATTAAAAACCCTAGACAGTGTGGGTGGTGAGCATATATGTGTTTGCATCCTTCTATACAGACAGAAGTCTTGTTTTTCACTTTTCTTTCCGGTTACTCCCACGTTGCATCAGAATAATCTGGCACCCCTGCTCCCCCCTGAAGGAATTCAAAATAACTTCTGTTCAGATACAGTAACAATGCTTCCACCATCAGCAGCAGCCAAATCAACCCAAATTAATAAAATGCCATCAATTACAAGATCAATTGGATGCAGGAGCACGATACAAACTGAGACATAAGAGTCCTGATTTAGTTTTTATTGTCTTGCTGCTCACCTTAATGCTCAAATCGGTCATGTTTTAAGTGCATTTATGTGGCTGTCAGAATGATAGAAGCCTTTGGGTGGATGCGTAATGTTTACCAGATAAGATAAGCAAACACTGCAGTGGGTGTGTGAGTTGTGTGGGGGTGTGGAAGTATGTGTTTAAACATGGTGAACGTTTGACCTGGGACGAAAACCTGAAATCACCACCGATGGGGTTTCGGGGTTGATATGTTGCTGAATTCCCCATTTTAGCTATAAATAGTCATAATCAAATTAAAAAGAAAAGAGAATTAGGGACATAATGGATTTGACATTTCTGTAATAGAGCTAGTAAATCTGTCAGAGGTATTTTAGGGAGTAGACATGAAGGAGCCTGATGAGTGAGGGGGTCAGAGCACAAGAAACCTAGAGGAGGGGTTTGGGGTTTCAGACGTTATCAAAGACCTGAACCTCTTTGAAAAGATTAACCAGGGTAATGGGTCCTCACGGGCTGCGTCGCCTCATACACCCCTGGATACAGAGTGTGTGCAGGTACACAAGAACACACTAACACGCACTCAGACAACATCAGTGATCAGCGTGGACTTTTGCTCATGCACACGCTTGAATACACACACAGACACACACAGACACACACAGACACACAACCTCAAGGGCTCTCCTGACATTCTCCCATGTCCCTGTCTTGGTAAAGGTCCCAGCATATGGGTCATATAAGAGGCCAAGGGATAAAAACAGAGCAGCCCGCACAGGAAAATGTCATCCTCACAGCATGGATCACACAAACACACTCAGCCTTACACAGCTATTCTTATTAGGACTTTGCACTGACTTCCATTCATTGTGGACAGACTAACCACAACCTTATCCCAAACTTAAGCTGTGACCAATTAATGCCTCCCCCTGTACTTAACCTAATCTAACCTAAACCATTTTACCCCTGACGTTAACGAGGACCTCAGAAATGCATGTTTGCCAAATTAGGGCCAGGCTTATTTTAACAATAATTAGACTTGTCTCTCTATAGTTGTGAGGACACTCATTGACGTAATGCATTCCCTAACCTTAAAGATCGTAGCTATATGCCTAACCCTAAACTTTATTCAAACCCAACCTTAAAAATAAGTCTTGACCCTTAAAAAAGGCTTTGGAATGTTTGAAGACGGGCCAAATATCCTGCCAACATCAAAATTGGCTCTCATAACTATAGATAGATATAGACACACACACACACACACACACACACACACACAGAGTCTATAAATAGGCAGTAAAGCAGGGAGCAGCAGAGTGGAAAAAGCCCAGTGGAAAACTGTCCAATCATTAGCTTAGCAGCATAGCTCTAAATTTAGCAGTAGCATTGCGGTGGGGTACAGCTGATCTTACACACAGGGACCAGAAACAGGATCGCAAAGCACCGTTCCCGACCTTAATTATAAAGAAAGAAAGCAGCGAAACTGAGTCAGGACCAGTCACCTGCACCTCATTAGTCTACCGCCCCGCGTGCAAGGGGTGGGGTTAGTTTAGCACCCTGAGCTTAGAATAATCTCAACTTCAAAGAATATGGTACATTTTATCATTAACCTATGTAACATCCTGGCCTATATATGCAAATCTAAACCCGTCTCAACGAAGGCTTCAGTCACTTTTAGAAACCTCCAATTAAAATGTTCCTGAATGAGCCGTGACAGGTTTAAATGACATTCCATGATGGGAAGTCGACGTATAGCCATCACGTCCCAACAGACTGGAATCTAAATTTGCCTCCCCTGAATCTTTAGCCTACTTTGTACGATGGGCAGAGGTTAATAATGATAACAGCAAATTAATCTGAAGCAAAGGGGGGTTTTGTCATTTCAAATGAGTTAATTCTGGTTGCGAGGACATGTTGAAGAAAAAGGTGAGTGGGACGTTGAATAAAGGGATAATATTAAGATAGCAGAGAGAAGTCACAGCCAAGGTTGTCTGAGAAATTGCCAAAACTTTTTACTATTCAGGCCTTGAATATGAAACTCCCTCATCTTTTGTATTCCACAAGAAAGAGGACGTTTAAAAAAAACAGGCATGAATGGAAATAAAAAACGTATAGAGTCAGTGCGCTACCTTACATCTTATGTGCACTGTGCAAGATTATTTTCAAAGCCAGTCATGTGTACATCACTGTGAACAATCTAACAAAGGAGCAAAAGTTTTATCAGAGATTTTACAGCTGAATTGTTTCGAATTTCTGCAACATAGACAAGCAGGAATTTGACTCTGTATATATGACAGTCTCTTAAGCTGCTTTCAGACAAGCACATTTTCCTGAAATGTTCATTCGGGGCTGTGAGTGAGAACTGAGTCTACACGTTTTATGGAACTTTTTCTGCAGGAAAATGCACAGCGAGTGAGTGGGCTCGTTGATGACCTTCCCAAAAAAAAAAAGAAAGGTGTCATACATGAAGAGGACCTTGATGAATATGTCAAATTTATACGTCATGTTCCACCTCTTGTTTTTTGCGTCTGACCTGGACAATCTCAAGCTGACTTCTTCATATGCGAAAACAGCTTTACTGATGAAACCGTTTTAAATAGGTATTATCCAAGCTTAAGTTTATAAAAATTCCATTACAAGTTCTCAGACAGGGGGATTGATGTGTCTTTGGTCTTAAAGCTTTCTGATAAGCAGAAGTTAGGGAGCTGTAATAGAAGTGAAACTTTTGGCAGTGGACAAGCCTTCTGTGTGTCCCAGCCAGCAAAGCAGTGATCATAAGAAACATGAGAACTTAATTAAAATCAGAAGTAAAGAGAACAGGATTTGTGTGGTTGCTGTGTGTATATATGTGCATGTGTTTATTTAGGAGTGTGATAGTGTCATTTAATCCAAATTGTTTTCCCTGTTAAGACAAAATCCCAATACACAATGTTGCAGCCTGTAGAGCACACACAGAAATAACTGCTAATTGCTCGGCTATGGCTTTTACAGTTCATTTGATATCCAAGGTGCTACATTGTGTCGATGAACCTAGTGTTTGTAGTGTAGAGTGTGCAACTGTGCCACTACACTATGCATTAACAGCTGCTGTGGTAGAAGGTGATAGGCAGAGTGTTAAAGAGACAGATAGTTGTTGAAAGGTGCGAGGGGGAGATGTGTGAGCTGATGAAATGCAGGATAATCTTAGCCTTGGGCAAGTAGACAGTTATTTGTAGTATGTATGTGTGGTTTTGTGTGTGTGTGTGTGTGTGTGTGGGTGCAAGAGCGAGTGGAGGGTGATTAAATCCAGACTTAATAAAAGTTATTATATATATACTCTCTTGGATGCTGATGTGTGCATCTTTTTGTGCACGTCTGAAATAAAAGAGAGCAAAGTGCTTAACCACAGTTCAGGTTTCCTTTTAGATTCTAATATGAGAAAATGCAGATTACTATTAGCACTGAGCTGCACATACGGTTATGACAGGTCTTGGGAAGGCTTCCACCTGATGTTTGCCAGTTATTACACTTGCTATTAGATGCTTACATATTGCAGGCCTATCCAAAGACAGCTAAACAGTAGCAAAATGCTGTCCAGCCTCAGAGGAAATAAGAAGCAGGGACCTTTATAAAACCGTCTAATGTTCGAACAAGACATATCTGCTGCTTTCTTGTTCAACAACATCCCCCCCAGCACTACCGCCGCCCGTAAGTGTGCATGTAATTATGTCTCCATCTGCTCCGCCGCGTCTTACCTCTGAGGCAGAGGAAGGTGAGGAAGTCCTCCGTCTTGGGCTTGCGCCGGGACAGGTCGTGTATGGAGGATAGTGATGAGGACGTGAGCAGCGAGAGGGACGAGGAGGAGGGCGCGGCGGCCAGGCCGGCGTTCAGGCTGACCGGGTCGGCCACCTTGACGGGCGTCGTGCTCGGCGAATTGGGCTGCGACTGGGCAAACTTCCGCTGAGCCTGGAGCCGAGGTCTGAGGGGGAGAAAAGAAACACGGAGTGAGAGTGTGAAGGATGTGATGAGTGGCATTTAATTACAAATGGGCATAGCAGCCTTCAACTGAGAGCATGGGCGGCCATGACTACTTGAGATAAAAGATAGTTCATCAGATTTTATGCTCAACGTTCACATGAAAATACACACTATGGACTTAGTAGTGTAATAAATCACTGATTTCAACTGTTATACATTATGAAATACATGACAGAAGTCTAATCAAGCCTTGGGTAATTACAAAAGATTTCATGTTCCCAGTATGTCGTATGAGGCACGTGGTGCTGATATCATTTATTCTAACACTTTAACATATACATGTCAGAGTGAGGAAGCTGTCTGCAGCTGATTAAAACCACAATTGTGCACTTTTACACACTCACACTTCCTGTGGCCCTATGACTATTGTCTCTCTTCAGAGTGGATCAGTGAAACAATTATCCTGTAGTGAAGATAGAGATCAAGTGTGAGCACATCACGGGCACCCACACACTCATTGAACGACCGTGCCAGCCGGTGAGTGTGTGCGTTCAATGTGTATATTGACATTGAGTAAATTACGCAATAAAATTGTAATTTGCATAGTCACAGATACACACACACACACACACACACACACACACGTGGCAGTTACTGAGAGATAATTAAGCTGTGTATAAGGCAGAGCTGGAGCTGTCAGTGACGGCTGATAATAACCAAACAAACAGGAACCATCTGCCAAAAACAACCACAAACTGCCCCCGAGAACAACTTGCAGAGTTGTTTCTATATTTCGGCCTCGCTTCATTTTTTCTCCATTACTCCTGTCGCTTTCTCACTTTCGACCATTTTATTTTCCCCTGACGTTGTGCTTGCTTTCCTCCGCCGTCCACAAAGCCTTTGAGACGTCCCTCTCATTTTTCACTCCGCTTGTCGCTTTCCTCTCTTTATTTCACAACGTGCAGCAGAGCAGGCGAGGGACAGAGGAGAATATTAAAGAAGCAGATGCCTGAGAGAAGGAGATGGTCGAACTTGCCACACCGCCTCCCTCACACACACAACATACATGCACACATTTCAGTCTCGCACACCGTTGGCATGGAGACACATGCACGCAGATACACAAGCCATAAAAGTTCTAGACTCGTCAGGGGCCACATGAACCAGCAAGTGGCCTCAATCGATCAGTGCTGCTGTGAGAATGTGTGTGTGTGCGTGCACAGGAGTTACGCTCTAAATGCAATGTGATATCCTGGTATTATTTGTCAATTTGCCGCGGACAGGATTGAAGTATAAGGGAAGATAGAATCATGTCTGGAGAACACCCACAATGGATTTGGCGCAGCCGCCTGAAAGGTGCAGAGTTGCGATTACACTTCAATCAGGGAACAGCACCGATGTCAAAACGTGTCAATTTCCTGCCGCTACATGGGTGTAAGCTCAATATGTGAGAAATTGAGAGATGATTGCACACACATTTGCCAAAGCGATGCATTCGGACATGATGTGTGAGAAAACTGAACAAACAACTGTTTGCACGAGCCCAGTCTGTTTAAAGTCAGACGCTTGGTAAACAAAATCACATGACTGATCAGCTTGGGTTAGATTGCACAAATCTAATCAGCTTTTAAGTTGCACATACATCATTTAAAGCACTTTCCCTCGACACACACATAGTACAGACTTTTGGTCCCCAAACAAACGTCACAGTGAAGAGATTAGTCATAAATTTTACTGAATACAAGGAATTATAAAGCCGCTTTATTTCAACATTAAAGGCTAGGTGTGTAGAGGAGCAAAGTTTTCCCCTGGTATGAGAGAACAAAGAACATGAGTAACATGAGGTGGGTGCCACTTCATGCAATGCTGTGCTTTATTTGGAAAATAAGAAGAATAAAGAAATAGGGCAGCAAAGCATAAAAACAGTTGTGGATTGTGGAAGAGAAGAGAGGAAGAGGCACAGAATGACAAAGATAGAGGAGGGTGTGAAAAGGGAAAAAGAAACAACAAGAAAAATGATCAAAAACTCAGGAGACCTAGCAAATGAACGAGTGAGAGTCACACATCTGAAGTAAGTTACAGAAGAAAGGTGTGATAAACAGGTAGAGAGGTAGAACACACCCTCTTGATTTCACACATCCACATTATGTCTGCAAGGCTGGCCTTTAGTTGTTGCCTGACTGCAGAGATCGAACAAGTTCACAGATACAAACACAGAAGTGAGACGAAATACATAGTTATGCTCTCGCCTCTCGATTTTAAGCCTATCCTCATGAAACTTTTACTTTTCTTGGTTGGCACGCACACAGTAATAAAACACTCTGTGACCACTGGGGATGGAGGATGGAGATACTGATGGAGAGGGGTGTACAGCGGGATGAGGCCGAAGCCAGAAAGTGAGATGAAGGAATTGAGAGAGAGGGAGGGAGAGGGAAGACGGGTGATGTGCAAAGGGAAGTTGAAAGCAGGAGGGAGAATTGCGTGACTAGAAGGATGGGAGAGATACAGTGTGTGAGAAGATGATATGCTATACTACAGCTGCAGTGGGGTAAGTTTTACCACAAATGTAACACTACATCCCTTGAAGGATTTCGACAGGCCACATTCTGATAACTTATATATATATTTGCACATATAGGCTAAGATGCAAACAAGCACAACCTTAAAACAACGTGAAAATTCAAAATTTCAATCCAATTTGTATCATCTATTAATTCCATGGCTGATTCTCCAGTTCTGGGTTTCTGGGTCTCAGTCGAGCTTCTCCAGAAATTTCTGGACAAACTGGTGAACAGCTCTTTGTGCAGCAGCGGAAGAGCAGCTTCAGGGTTTTGCAGACTGAAACCTGCAGCTGGTTTTTACGTACAAAATTACTGCAGACCACTTTTCCATTTTTAGAAAAAAGCTGAAACCAGCATAACCACAGGCAAAGCAAATTGAGAATTTATACTGCAAAGATATTATAAAGTTATATTAACTGAGTTTATCATATATACACACTATAGGTACAAAGCTTTATCAAACATTAGATCTATGAAAAATCCAAATTCAACTTCTTTATTTTAGTACTCCCTATAACAATCGATATTAACTACTGCACCACTAAAGCCATTCTGTGTTTTCCAGGTATTAAAATTGTTGAACCCCCCTCAGTCGACTGAGATTCTTCAACTCAAGCTTTCTCTCTCTTGCTGCCCAGCCAACTTCTCTTGTTCTGGTGCATTCTTCATCGTCTTTTCCCTTGTAATATAATTCTGTCTTTCACCTAACCTCTTGCTTTCCCCCTCCTCTGTTCATACTTTGCCTGGAGACAGAAAACCATTCAGAGTGTCAGAGTGTGTTTGCTGTTTGAGTGCATGCATGCTTGTAGACTCAAATGAACCCTGACAGGGCAGTTATTTGTTGTACTCACCAAACGTCACACCACACTCTCTCCTCCCTGAGCCTTCATAAAAAATAGCACTTTTAAATTAATAAAATCCCTCAGTGGACTTCACCATGGACATGTGTGCACACTGCAAGTGTGCAGTTGTTGCTTATGCACAGTTAAAATGTGCAGCCACCCGACCTTGTCCTGTCATCCCTCTAAATTCAATCGACTGAGATTTAGCATCGCAGAGGAGGAAGGGACGCAGACTAAACTGTGCAATGAACACAACGCTCATGAAACAGTGAGCAGAGAGAGGGGAGACTCTCTCCATAAAAGCCAAACCCTGGATAGCTTTTATTGCCCGGGCCGTAGATGAATAGGGCCCTATTTAACTGTTTAAAGAAAGAGAGACTGAGGGGATAAATGATTCACACACACATGAAAAAGGAGGATGGCGACAGAAATACAGCAAAAGCAATTGTGTAGAAGAATGAGGACAGAGAGAGATGAGCTAATAAAGTGATGTGCTTACTACATCCTGTCTAGACAGTCACAGAGAGCTTCTTCAGCAGAGTCTTCCTGGGACAATCCTCTGTTATCTGTTACCTATTAACTTACATGGGAGATACGCTGCAGGGCTTTTCCCAAACTCCAACTCTAGTGATTAGATTTGATTCTGTTTCCATTATGTATTTTCAGGTGTCAACTTACTTTTCCTTTTATAAGGGTATGCAAACAGCAGAGTCCAAAAGAGATGTGATAAAAACAGATCTGCTTCACTGATGATGTGAAAATTTAGATTTTGGCAGGAAACATAAGCAGGGGAAGAGATAAGTAAAACCAGAGCATCTAACATTACAAAAGACAACAACTTCAGAAATAAGAAATTATTTTAAAGATGACAGATGGCTCAGTTCTTTGGAAATATAGTCCTCAGGTGGCAAAGCAGAATTAGTGTTGTCCATCATTATTAAAAGGCACAAGGAAATTAAGCCAATTGTTATAACACTTCCTCTAAAACTCTGGATCATCCGCCAAAGATCTTCTTTCATGGCTGAGCCACATTTATCATTTATTTCTATCATAGAGACAAACAGGCATGCATGAGAGTGTAATACACACACACACACACACACACACACACA